CGCACACACAAAGCAGCTGGGAGTGATCGAGCTTTTGAATTAACAAGGAAAAAGTCGATCACTGAAGTTTCTAGCCATGAGCTATAGTAGCTTTAACGAAAAGCTGGTCTTCATTAGCTTACATAGTTCATCTTGTTTCTGGGTGGGGTGGGGGGAGAATATAGTAGTGTGGCCAGCCAGCTTTATGAAAATGTAACGAACAAACTTCCCAAATCTGCATAGATATATAGAGAGAGATGCCTAGCTTTCACAGCCTTTTCAGAAACCTAAGGATGTCTGATCCTTTTTCTGTGAACGATAACGAAAGGAGAAGTTAGTGGTTTTGGTAGGGAGAAGGCAAATCAAGATTCTCTTTGGAACATTTTCTGGGATTTCCATTGAACTCTTATGTTCCTGCCATATTTATGGTCAAAATGTGTCTCAAAACTCAGAAAGGAAGTAGCTTAATAGCGTTGCAATGATGGTAATATCCACTTCACTCTGTTACGAGCAAGGATTGAAATACCGTACCGTACCAGCTGTCAGACCAGAAAATACTGTACCGTACCGATGCTATTTAGCGTTATTAAGCGGTTGTACACAGTTAAACCACGATTTTAATTTAAAATACACTAACTTTTCCGATATGGTATTTCAATCCTTGATTACGAGTCAGGATCTTGGTAGGATAACAACTCGAAGAAATTTGCCAACACAAGCTCAAATTAGAAAAAGACAATATACTCGAAAAGCAAAGAATAATGGAAGCCAGATTAATTTGGGTTCTCATGCGTTAACCAATAAACGAGTACACTAATAATTTTGCCCCCGCCTTACATCACCAAAGTTAGAGCGCTAGTGTTAGCATTATACTAACATTAGCATATACTAGAAACGTTATAAATCATACCACAAGTTTTTTGAAGCATAACATAAATTTCTTAAAGTAGATCACAAATTTTATAAAGCATACCACAAGTTTATCAAAATAGACCACAAGTTCCCTTATGCATATCCAAATCCTCATAATACACACCACAAGTTCATAAAAACAGACGACAAATTTTTTAAACTATACCACAAATTACTAAAGGGACACAAAGAGTTCCCTAAAGCATAACAAAACATCATAAAGTAGATCACAGGTTCCATGAAGCATACCATAAATATCATAAAACAGACCACAAGTTTATTGAAATATATCATAAATCTCATAAAGTAAATCACAAGTTTCTTAAATCAGACAAGAACCTCATGAAATTGGATCTGTTTGTATAATTTAAAAATTTTAGGTATCAAAATGTAAAGCATAAAAAGTTTAGATACTAAAATATAACTTTTGGTCAATATTTTTAAGACTTTATGCAAAAAATATTAATTTTAGGTGCTAAATATTAACCTCTATTAAGTTTAGCTACAAAACTGTAATTTGTCTACCAAACCCAAATTCATAAGACAGTCGCATATGCAGGAGAAGAGAACTACTATGGATAGGTAGTAATATAATACTCTTAACTAGTTAATTAATGGGTTATAGGTATAATATGCCCCTCTACTATGACGTTTTACCGAACATGCCCCTCTACTATTTTTTATATCAAACATACCCCTGTACTATGAAAAAATTATCAAACATGCCCTTATATTAAAATTTTCATTGAAAAAATCGTCAATCATGGTTGAACCGAGATTTAGACGACCCGACATCGGCAAATGGGAGAGAATGTCGGTTTTATCTCCCGTTGTATTTCTCTGGGTGTCTTCAAAGTGAAATTATTTGAATTATTTGGCTATACAAAAGACAAAAAAAAAATTAAAAGTGAAATTATCAGGGATATTTTAGACATTTGTGCCGCCCAAACCAAAGTTCGACCTTGGTTAATGGTTTTTTGATGAAAATTTAAACAAAAGGGCATGTTTGATCATTTTTACAAAGTACAGGAGCATGTTTGATGTAAAAAATAGTATAAGGGCATGTTTGATAAAACGTCATAGTAGAGGGGCATATTATACCTATAACCCTTAATTAATTATGGTAGCATGGCTATTCCATCCCTAAACCAGTAACCCCAAACATGTCTTTTCCTTTTTTTTTTTCTTTTTTACCTCAAGAAACATTAATTACTCCTAAGCAATAATTAACCCAAAATCTTAATTCAACTACGACACAAATTTAAAATAATTAAATTCAAAGTTTTAGGACAATAAATTAATACGTAAAAGCAATATAGACGCACAAACCTAATTTTACATAATAACTACTACGTCGACTCAATCTCGTAACACACTTCTACAAATATTGAGGCCAACGATCATGGGTCCATGTGGGCTACTCTCTCTTCTTCTACACTAGAGTGGGCCCCGGCCGTTTGGCCGGAGGAAGGTGAGGTACGAAATTTGATAATGTAATAGGGTGTATAGCTTATTGTTGTATAGTTTTTTTTTGGGAACGAATAAAAAATCAGCCTTATGAACCAAAATCAAGTACTCGTTACATTGTGAAACAATATTGTTTTTGGTAATATGATGAGGTGGATAAGTTTTATAGAAACCGAATTCCAGAAAATCGAATAAAAAATCGCCTATCCCGCCGGTTTTCGGGAAATGAGCATCTCACAATCGTTGCTAGCTTTTACTCGGCCCATTGGCCGATTAATTTGCTTTATAAAACTTTCATCTTGTCATCATTGTGCTTTCTGGTTTTTGCCAAGCCATGATAAAATCTAAAGAAATCAGGAATGAACAACATGATTTGGGATATGAACCACCGTTCCTGTATCCCTAGAAAATGGTGGTAAACACGGACTCACCTGCCTAACTGGTTTGGATTGAGATTTTTATCGGGTATCAGGGAACCATGTGATTATAAATTAGACTGGATAAAAACAGGCCAAAACTTGAAATTCAGCCTGTTTGACCGACCCATGCCAAACTCTAATTATTCTTTACTTTTAAACTTTTTATTTGAAAATAAAAAATAATGAAAGAAAAGAGATGACTGTAATTCGCCATTTGCACATCACTAATTCGGGAATAAAACTATAGAATTTCGAAAGGAAACTGAAAAGGTTTAGGATCGTTTTAATGTTAAAAATAACCAAATAGATCTTTCTGTTTAGTTTTTTACTAACAAATACCAAACGATTCCCTATAATATACACTATAATTTAATCATTATGATATCAAATAATTACATAATATATATTTGAATTGATAAAAATTGCACTAAATGGGTTGGTCGAGGTTGAACCATTGAATAACTTTAAAATACATTATATTTTAGCCACTAAGATATAAAATAATAGCATAATATATATTATGCTAGAGAAAATAGCTTGTTTTAGAATGACAAACTCATGATGTTCATTTGTTTTACTTGATGGGCAAATCCCGTGTAGGTTAGGCCCATTCAACTCTTTTATTTTATGATTAGCGGTTAGCCCATTAGAATCCATGCATTAGTTTATTGTTAATTTTTTTTAGCAATAAAAAATGAGTATTGTTTTTGCCTTTTCATATATTTTACCACCACGAAGAAATAAAAGGACTTAAAGAGAAAAATTAACACTCCTGGACCCGTTTAAATTCGCATGTATACGGTAAGTTGGCCCGTTCCACAGAGGAAAAAGAAAAAAATTGACACTCCCTATTCTACCCTTCCTACAAACGGTCATGGAGCAGGGAATTTGAAATGGGGGATGGTTTTTCTCCTCTCTGCGATTATATGTTTTTAATTTAAAAAGATACAACAAATGTACTTAGTGTGATTGGTTATGATCTTTGCTTTTCTTTAAAGTGGTGATTGTTCGAATCCTGGTAAGTGTCTTTTTAATGAATAAAAAAAAGTAATTGTAAAGACCAAAATGTCCTTCCTACTTTCACTCTGGACGCAGGAAATTTGAAATGGGGTTTCAAGTTTTCTCATTTGATTTTTATTTATTGTGTAGATCCGCAATTTTTTTTTATTTGTTGCGCAAAGCAAATGTCATCTTTCTTTTCCTTCTCCCTTATTCACTATGCTTCCAACAAGGTTGCCCACTCCATTGGATTCAAAGAGTACTACTTCTTTTGGAGTAGTGGAAGCATATATATGCATATCATATATGATGGATCATGATTGAATTGCGTTGACTTTGGTAGACAACTAGAAATGCAGTGGGCCGCTTCTATAGTTTTATAGACAACATAAGTATCCACAGTGCTCAGTGCTCATGGATCATGGGCGTTCCTTTGACTGTCAACCAAACACATCCCCTCATCACTACTACTCCATGAACTCAAAAGGACAGGGATCAACGTTGGGCGTTGGCTTGTAGGGCTGACTATTTGATCGAACTATTTGGTTTTACTCGAAATTAGACCGTATAACCTGGATCGGGACTGGACCAAAACCAGATAGAAAACAATTTAATTCTATATTCGGGTTTAACTTTGAGGTATAAAACAGTTTGTGACCGGATCAAAAATTGGATAAAGACCGGATAAGAGAGTCCAACACCCAAAACTTAACCAACTCCTCATCATTTGAGGTCTCAGACCACTCAAATTTCCACAAGTTCAATATAAAATCAAGACCGAATTGGGAACGGACCGGATCAAGACCGGATTGTATCCAATCCAATCTTTAGTCCATATATTCCCGAAAAGACCGGACCGAGACCAGATCAATTCGGGCCAATTTAACTGGATCGGATAGTAGAGCCACCCCTACTGGCTTGGCTTCTCCATGTCCCCATCAAGATATGTTGGGGTTGAAGTTTGCACTGGTCTGGATACCATGTGCTTAACAGAAATATATGGGGTCATCGGGATTCGAACAAAGACCTCTCGGTCATAGAAGACTCTATGACCATGTTAAGAACCAGTTGATCCAATAATAACTTGAGTTGTTGGGAGATGTTCAATCGTGGGTAATGTAATATTTACTAACAATACTGAACCCAACACGTAAGTATTTAGACACGAATAAATTATGCATACATGTCACGTTGTTCTTTTCCAACGCATGCAGGACTAGCTAGCTAGCTAGCCTCAATTGCTAGGATTGGAAATGGTTGGTAAATCAATCTCATGGCACGCTCTTTGTGCTTTTGGGTAGGGGATCCATTCGCGTCGCCATGGTGATACATGAAATGATGCCCGCGAACAAGATTCAAGGCCAGATTGACGTACATTGCCATGCCATCACCACCAAAGTTAGCCATAGCCTCTTCATTGATTCTCTTCCATGCTTCACCAATTCGCCATTCGATGTACTTGCGTGCTTCTTCTTCGGATACACCCTTCTCTTTCATGTAACGTTCTACTGACTTGAGAATATCCCCTCTTTCTAGTTCCGCCTGCAAGAGTAAATTAATTAGCCACGGTACGTAATTATGTGCTATATTATATATATCCATAATGTACACATAGGCTGAAGAAAGTTATGCATGTGCATACCTTAGAGGTTGCTAGGTCATTGGTAAGGCGAGCAACGGTGGCTATCCAACAAGTTAGGCTTGGGTCGTTAGTTAAGTAGTCAAAAGCTTCCTTGGTGAGAGTCTCACCCGATGCAGCGTAAGTGTGAATCAACACAATCCTTGATGCTATTGTCTTTCTTCCGTGTTCCAAATACTCCTCGAATGTTTGGATGTCCAACCCACCATTGTTGTGGAAAGTCTTGGCTTCTTCGAGATACAGTCTACACTGTTCCTGCCACTGAAAGTGATCCAAAACTAACGATCGAGCACACATTAAGGGAATTAAGTACCTAGATCAATACAAAAGCATAATACGGCTTAATTACCGCTTGTTTGATGTAAGGCAAGCTGTTGAAGCCTTGTTGTTCCATCGTGTGATGGGCTAGTTCGTTAGTGGTATCGTGGATTGCCATAAAGCATACTTGCATGTACTCCGGGAGCAAGTCCAGTTCACCTGCGTCCCACCTGTGGATGTATTAAACGTTACATGCATATGCACTCGTACGTAGTTGTAAGAGAATGATGTAGTATTCATTTTTTAGCTTGATCTTTTGATGAAAAATACGAGAGTAAGCTAGTAAGTAATCGTATGACCTTTGAATGGCGGCTGTAAAGAGATGGAGCTCATCAAGGGAACCGTAAACATCATAGACATCATCCACTACGTTGATGAGACATGCGAGCTTGGTCATGGTCTTTCGACAGTAACTAAACTCAGGCTCCTGGATTAAACCCACTGCCCACTGGAAACTCTCAGTCAATCGATCTCTTGCAAATCCTAATTTCTTCGGAAGGCCCAATTTTTTCCACCACCTGCATAGGACGACGAAGTCTTCCTGTTACAACCCAAGCCAACCCAATGTATGATACAACTATGACAAAAGGTTGAATATTTATTTCTTCAATTGTTCATATGTTTCAGAGAAATTTTTTATTCTATGAAATCTACACAGAAATATTTCGAGACAAAAACTATCACAATGTTTGAAGATGTGTTGGCGGTCACATGTCTGTTGTTCCCAAGTAACAAGTTTAGTATATAACACATCTAAACGACTCATTAATGTTTCGATAATGGTAAAGATCGACATTATCAATGTTCCTCGCAAGGATTGAAATTTCTTCTGTTTTTGTTTTCTAAATGAAAATTAAAGTAAATTTTTAAAAAAAATTGAAGATCAAAGTTCAAACTAATAAATCATTTACCAACTAAAATTAATCTAGGAAAAAATTGGCACGAGAGCTAGGGCTGAAAATTGGTTCTTGGCATGACCAAAACTCATATCGTGTAAACCAATCTGGTGGAAATCAGAACAAGTTTTACTATAATCTGAATTGATTTTCTTCTATTATAGAGAGGTAATGAAATCGTCTCGGTTTAATTTAATTTTAAATCAGGAAAATCAGAAAATTAAATCACCGTTCTGCCCATCCAGTTCCAACCCATCCTCAACCCAACCCACCTTGCTCACTCTCACAGATCCTTAGCCCAGCTCATCCTCAACCCAACTCAACTCCCCCAGTCTCACAGACCTAAGCCCAACTCCCCCAGCCCACCTTCCTCACTCTCACAGACCTTAGCCCAACCTCCCTGGCCCTGTGAAACTCACACATACACAAGCTGGACTAGATGGGGTGGATTAACTAAGGGTTCAACAAGCAGAGACTTTTGGCCCATCGTCTTAACTCGGACCTAAGTACCTAACTCGGCCAACAAAAATTGAATATAATAACGTAAGAAATAACTATTGTTCTATAACTTTTACGTAATAGATGCATGCTTTATGTAACAGTTGTAAAGTATCGTTATGGAAGCCTTATGTAATGGATGGTCCTTTTACGTAATGAATATTAAACAAGTTACGTAATGTGGTAAGTCATTACGGAACTCTTAAGTAACACTTCAAATATAACTGTTACGTAAGAAATAACCTTCGTTACGTAACCTTTACGTAATGAACGTGTATTTTATGTAACCGTTGTAAAATGTCATTACGGAAGCCTTATGTAATAGACGATGCTTTTACGTAATGAATATTAACATAGCGTTACTTAAAATGATAATTCGTTACGGAAAACTTCCGTGACGCTTTCTAGTTTAACTGTTACGTACGTAAGACTAACAAGCATTACGTAATTATAACTTAATAAACATTAGATTTACGTAATCCAACCTGTAAAACCTGCTATAGCAGGTCAAAAAGTTCAAGTTATTGAAAGGTCCCTAGTTGTTTACCTGTGGAGCTCCTCCAGTTCGGCTTGGTACACAAGCTGGACCATGTTGAACTCCAACATTGCTAATTCAAGCAATGCTGGGTCGACCTTGATCCTCCCTTCAGTACTGTCTTCTCTGTACTGCTCGATGTGCCACCTCGCCTCGCACCGCCGCATCCTCCAGTGTGATGGCAGCTCCAAGGCTCGAGCCAGTTGCTTGGCCTCCTGCATGGTGGTGGTGGTGGGATTTGCCATGGCCGTTTCAGCCTTGCGATAAATCTCCTGCAAATGGGTCCTGGCAAAGCTCTTGGCTTCATCCAGAACAATTTCACCTGGGAAACCCAGATAGGAAGCCTCGTACAAGCTCAACAGCCCTCTCACATCACCACTGATTTCTTGCTTGAACTTGCCATCCTCTTCTCTAAATCCTTGGAAAACTGCATCTGCTTTTTATCAATGTTATCATTCGTGAGAAAGAGTTCACAATATATGCTTCAGTTTTCAACAACATATGCCATCAGATCCGTATTAGAATCGTCGAGTTATTGGATTTTACAGGTGATTGATATAGAGCTAGTTTGGTTCTGCTATAGTTTTTACAGAAGCGGCTTCTGGCTTGAATTTTAGAGAAGTATTAAAAAAAAAAAAACAGTTGAGTGTTTGGCTGAAAAACTATTAGAAGTATTTTTTAATATGAGAGGTTGTGTAAAATGACTATAACAGACTTAAAATATAAACTATGAATAAAAACTCCAAACAATAAAAAATAATTAAAATTGATCTTATTAGATTTCATTTATATTAAATAATATGATTGTATAATTTATTTTATTTGTAAAATGTTATAAATGAAAGAAAATTATATTTTCTTAAATAAAATTAAAATATGGTAAGGATAATCTTGTATTTTCAAAACAGCTTTTCGCAGAAGCTTCAAATCGGAGCTTCTGCTTTTATGTTATACAAAAGCGCTTTTCGGCTTTTCAAAAGCCGAGTTCTTAGATGTGTTTGGCCCTGCTTCAGCTTTTGACACTGAAAAACACTTCTAAATTTCGAGACAAACATAAACATATAGTATTAGAATGAGTTAGTGTTAATTATGGTATGTGCCCTGTTTTTTACAGAGGATACCTAAAACAAAAGTATAAAATTCATATTTGGATATTTGTCAATAACTCGAGTTAATTATTTATTTTTGGCCGATATATCTCGACTCGATGTACCTGGAGACTCCCGGATTCCGGCCTGTCGGAGAAGTCTGAAACGGAGGGCAGAAATGTGGAGGTTGTTTGCAATTGGTGGGTTCGCCGCAATCCTACCCAGAGCACTCTGAATCTCGCGCTCGAAATGATAACCAACTCCCAACCGCTGCAATGTGTCAATGATTTCAATCCTTTCTGCCACCATTTCTTCTTCATCATCATCTTCCCCGCAACCAATTTTGCTCAACAATTCACGTTTCACATACTTCTTTAGCTCTTCCACTCGATGTCCCCACCTCCTCTGCATATATAACACCCTCAATTATTATACAGTTCAAATTCAGTATTGGTACCAAAACAAAATTAGTGGTACATATTTATGCTTACGGAAGTGTTGTCATCGGGCTTGGAATATTCATGGGACTCCCATATGTCTGGACCGTAATTCCCTGATCGGCGTTGAACCGTCGCCGGAGGCGTCGCATGGAGTACTTTCCGGCTGCCTCTGTTGCTGCTCTGCTGTGCGATGACGGTGAATTTTGCGGGTTTCCAAGAGTGGTGCGGAGAGAATACTTGAGTAGTACTCCATGTTTGATGCTGAGAGAAGACAATCTGTGCAGCTTTTACACCTTGGCCCGCCATATATTTTAGCCAATATTTTAGTTCAGTGTATGCCCTTTCTTTGATCCTCTGTGATTCTAGTATCATATCCTAGGAACTTGGACAGCTTCTGTCACAGTTCAATCAACAAACCTCAACCACTTAAAAAGGGCAGGACTCCATGTCCGATGATGGTGATTGGTGATTAATCATACATAACAGACAAATATAAGCTAAATTACACGTTTGGTCACTCAAATTTTATAAATCTTTCACGTTTGTCAACCAAATTACTTTTCTTTCATATTAGTCACTAATTTTACGATTCGTTTCACTGTTAGTCATCGATCTTTAGTCTCCGTAGGACTCCATTTACTCTGTTTGTTTTTTGATGACGTGGCAAATTGAATGACTGATTAGACGGTTAACTTAAATGACATGTCCATTTAAAAAAATTAAAAAAGCAAGTAATTAGAGGAGAGGGCCCACCTTCCCCTCCATAGTGCCTAGTATTCTTAGCCTTCCCCATCTTCACTCAGAACAATATAGGAGTAGCTCCTCCTCCATATCAAACGAAGCATAGCAGAGGCAGCCACAACTTTGTTGGGCCTTCTTTTCCTTTTCCTCTGGTCTGCCATCTCTTCCTCCAGTTATTATAAGGGATCTCTTCCCCAAATTCAACCTCCGCAATAAAAAGAGCAATCTAGGAAATGGAAAGACTAGAGTTCGGGGGCGGAGATCTCGAACTCAAATAAGCGGAACTTCTCTCTTTCCCAATTCCCAGGAGGGAAACGAATGTCTAGACCTCGGAGCTCCATGCCGTAGCACACTCCCAAATGGTTCACGCCCCAGACCAATACACAGTCTGTGATATGCATTTCCTTCAGACTTCGGCACCTGGAGAACGAATCCTCGGTCCAAATCTCGAAGGAGGCCGGCTAGCCGGAGCGAGGTCAGAGACGTCGCCGTTGTCGACAAGGTCGAGAGGTCGAGGCAAGGGCCGATGAGATCCAAGTGTGTGAGCAAGGATAGGAAGAAAATATTGTCCTCTGTAGACTTTAACTTCCCTTGTTTCTTCGTCTGTTCAGTGTTCATATTCCCCAACAAATGATGCTCTTCTTCTCTACTTCCATCACAAACCCAGAATTCCATAACAGATCAAAGAAGAAAATAATAAACCCATAATCAAAGACAAATAAGAACCCCAAACCCAAAATTGCAGATACTTCTCACTCCCTTTCAATTCCAAAGGACCCTAGCTGGTTCCTCTTTTCTCTTCAATTTCATATGGCTCGAGCAAGTGATTGAGTTTGCACAACAAAGAAAGAACTGCCACTCGATTGAAATCCTGATTGAGCGATTCCGCTTTTCTCTCCCATCTGTCCTCAGTCCCCGATATTCCATTTGACCCCGTCGATTCCCGCGCTTCTTCTTGATTCATAAGAAGGCATATTCGAACAGTTAAAATCGGCGCCGCCAATGTAGTCAAAATACCGATTTTAATCTTAAAACCTGATAAGTTTACGATCTTACCAATGGGTTCCGATCATGACTTTAGTGTAAAATCTTTGAACCTTAAAATCTATAAAATCCCAATTGAAAACTCTAAAATCCTTGAAATCTATGATTTCTACGATTTTTAACGATTTTAAGGCTCATATCAATTGGAGCAAAATTAGGCCAGTCAAGTCGGGTTCTACCCATGAACTAGTCAGGTTTACTTCCCCGACCCAACATAATGAACAACACAACCCTAACCCGATAGACAACCCTTAATTTATTTTTATTCTTCCTCGTATCTTACGCTTTCGAACGTCGACACCCAACTCCTTCCATCAACGATATCTTCCACCCTCCCAATAATTAGCTTGTATTTTGTTCCCAGCACCCTCACAATAATCCAAATCTCTTTTCCATTGCAGGCTTTCATTCATCTCCCAATACTTGAGCACCACTATCCCTGGCTTTTTATCAATTAACAAGGAAATGTACCAATCAATGAGTTATCTTTGCCAGATGATGGTGATCAAGGAAATATGGTTATTGGTGAAAGTACTTTAAGTGATCCTAAGCGTAATGATATTAGTCCTTAAGCAAATAGACAAGGATGAGATTGAGGGTGAACTTGAGGATGATGATGATGATGTGTAAGTGATTTTAATGTTGATGCTAATGATTTTATGAGTTTTTATACTCTTAACTATTAAATAAGTGATTTACATGAGGTTTCGGGTTGTTTATTTGTGTGTTTATATTATGTACAAGAATAAATATATGGATTTAGTTGTAGTTATTTAGCAAACAAACTTATCTTGGGAAGTAGTTATGTTATATGTGGTTGATTGTTATTCAGTATATGCATTTTTATTAATATCTGGTGTTTAAGTGTTTATTTTAATATGAATCTTAAAATCTTACGATTTTAATTTACGATTACGATTATACCTCAGTTTTCGATTTTACTTAAAATCCCGATTTTGACTGCATTGGGCGCCACCGTGGGGGTGTCTGCGGTTTTGTGTGAAGATGGGGAAGGCGAAAAAGACGAGGAAGGGGATGGTGGGAAACTCCTCTAATTACTTTTTTTATTTTTTATTTTTTCAAATTGACATGTCATTAATTTAGCAGTCCAGTCAACAGTTCCGTTTTCCACATCATCAAAATACTAACAGTGTTAACGGAGTAAGACGGGGACTAACAGTGAAACGAATAGTAAACTTAGTGGTCAATATGAAAACAAGTGATTCGGGTGGCAAACGTGAAAGATTTATGTAATTTGAGTGACCAGGTCGATTTATTACATACAATATTAAGTTGGCATTCGAATCTTTCCATGCTATGAAGCTGATAACAGGGGGAAATAAGGGGTATGTGGCAGCTAAACTAGATATTGCAAAGGCATATGACCGTGTGGAGCAGAGGTTCTTGGAGGAATGATGGAGAAGCTTGGCTTTGATCCTCGATAGATACATTTAATGATGCAATGTGTGAAAACTGTTACCTAAACATCATTGATTAATGGTCATCAAACAAAGGCAATCACCCCTACCAGAGGCTTGAGACAAAGGAGATCTCATTTCTCCTTATATCTTTCTACTGTGTGCAGAAGGGTTATCTTTCTTGGCTAAGAAGGCAATGGAGGATGGAAATTTTAAGGGTATAAAGGTCTCGAGACATGCACCTGTTATCTCACATATGTTCTTTGCGAATGACAGTATTTTCTTCTTTGAAAATATGAGACAACAAGGTGAAACATTAAAATGAATTCTGGAAGTCTGTGAGAGAGAATCAGGGAAGCAGGTTAGTCTTCCTAAATCTGAACTAAGCTTCAGTGCTAATGTGGAAGAGCTGACTTAATTGTTGGGAACGAGAAAAATAATGCATCATGATAAATACTTGGGTCTCCTAATAGTGATTGGAAGATCCAAGAAGGCTGTGTTCAACAAGTTGATCGATAAAGTCAGGAAAACAGTTAAAATGTGAAAGAGAAAATTGTTGTTCTATGCTTCCAAAGAGGTGTTGATCAAATCCACAACATAGGCACAAGCCATGTATGCTATGTCTGTTTTCCTTATTCCTTTAGGGGTAATACATGAAATGCAAAGCATAATTGCAAGCTTTTGGTGAGGGAGGAAGAAGGAAGAATAGATTGGATGAAGTAGGAATCCCTATATAAACCAACAGGAGAAGGGATATGGGATTTGGAGATTTACATCGGTTCAACCTGGCACTATTGGGAAGAGCGGCCACTTCGGGAAAGTCTCTGACCTTCTTATCCCTAAATCCCAACAGAAGAGCGGCCACTCCGGCAAAGGCGAGCCAAGGTTCAGCTGCATGCGGTCGTCGTCCATCCTCCATCTTGGAACTCAGAGTAAGCGTAAGACGGCGGGTCATCCGAACAACCCACAAGTCAGTCCCCAATCAAAAGCCCGCCCTAAAGTTTACACAACACCCAGATCTGTACATCATCTGCCACACAAATCTCAGAGCATATAGAATTACCCCAACCACCAATTTCCTTCCTCTTCACAAAACTCAACCCACCGCCGATTCATTAGCATCTTTGGCAATTCTCATGAGACCAAGGAATCGAAGGAACAAATATATTGAAAGTGATTATCATTTAATGCAATTTCTAGGTTCACAATAATTAGGGTTTTCAAAATGGAATTTGGATTCACGGCCGAGAAGATGGGTCGGAGAAGAACGATTTCTCTCCGCCTGATTGGATAGGCAATTAGCGGAGCAGGTAGAATCTGGTACAGTCATTAGTCATTACCACCCACCGAAATCTCCGACCTTGAAATCTGTAACTGGTTTGTGCTCATTGTTGACACCCGCCGAAGTCTGCTCCTACCTCCGCCGAGGAACAATTGAGTGCCAGTGGAGTAGCAGCGTCGGAAGGAAAGCTGTGAAGTGGAGGATTAGTTGGGGTCGGTGTCGTCGAAGCTGATGATGAACGACGGTGAGCGGGGTGAATGAAGAAGAGATGCTCTGTCCAATCTTCAACATCGCTCAACAATTCACAACCTTCTCAAAACACTATCACGAAATCCTAAGTTGTCCCCCTCCACCGTTTTCCAATGTCGCTACCGAAAATCCATACCATATCTACTCAATGTTGGCGAGTTTTTTATCGGGATCGAGTTACGTATGTTTTAGTGTTTTTCTTTCACTTTTTCCTTTTTATTGATCATGAGCACAATTGAACACAAATCCATGGGTATCCAACCTAATTCTATACTGTCAAAGCGACTTGAAACCGACTTTAGCATTTATAAATTTCTCTATTTTTTTCTTTTGGTTGGGAAGACAACTGAACCTGAATCTAAGGTATTGATGAGTGTTGTATTGTGAGCGAGCTTTATTCGCTTTTGTAGTTGGCAGGTTAGACCAAGTGTTAATTTGTTAAAAAATTGTTAAAACGAGTTGAACACGTTGTTGATCAGTTTTAAATCGAAAGCGAGTTTTGTACGCTTCAATATTTTTTAATTTCTCATTTTTCTTTTCATTGAAAATGATAATTGAACCCTGAACCATTGTTGAAGCGTTCGTATCAATAGCGAGTTTTACCCGCTTTGGTAATTGACAGGTTAGTAAATTGTGAATTTGTTAAAACTAGGTCAACTCGGTCAAAGCAAGTTGAATGCAGTGTTGGGAGTTTGGGGTCATGAGCGAGTTTTATCCGCTTTAGTATTTTTCTTTATCTTTTTTCTTTTTCCTTTTGGCTGAGAATGGCAATTGAGTCCAAACGCATGGGTATGCAACCTAATTCGACCCGACTAAAGCGAGTTAAACCTGGTGTTGACGAGTTTTGATTCGATAGCGAGTTTTAGCTTTAGTGTTTTCCATTTTGCTTTTCCTTTTGTTTGAGAAAGACAATTGAACCCAAATCCATGGGTATCCAACCTAATTTAATCCGATCAATGCGAGTTGAACCTTCTCAAACCTGCAATAAGTCCAAAAATTTCATAAAGGAGAACCACGATTACATCAAACCCAAAAAAAGCCAAAAGTTTACGACTATGTTTAGCCCGAATTTTAAAAGTTTTATGTTTCAAAAGTTGAAACCAAGCCAAACACCTATAAAGTTCAACTTTTTAAAAAACTGAAGTTTTTCGTAACTTTAAGGCAGAAACTCTAATTTGAAAGTACAAAATTTTCCTAAACATAAATTATTATTTTTCTAGAAAACATAATTTTTTATTTATTTATGTCATTATAAAAAAATAAATTAAAAAATGGTATTTTAATATTAAATAAATCTAACGTGATCCATTTTAAATACTTTTTTAATTTTAGAATTTGTATTCATATTTTATGTTATAAATCGTTTTTAGTCATTTTATATTACCTCTTATATTAGAAAGTAATTCTTATAGTTTTTCAGCTAAACACTCAACATTTTCATCTACTTCATTCTGCAAAAGTTACAGCTGGATCAACTACTAGCCATACAAATTGAAACAATAGCGTCATGCAAGAAGTTTAAACATAAATAATCTATTCGACAATCCTTCTATCATATGCTATTGTAATTAACAAACCAATGAAAAGAATGATTAAAAATGAAATAAGATTACTATCACTTTTGG